GCATGACAGTCAGGATTTTCTCCACATGGCCAAGTGAACATGCTCAGTAATAGACCCTGACTCTGCCCTCTGGTTAGATTCAGTGATATTATCCACAGACTGCATGTGGACTATGCTTATGGATTGTCAATCTAGATACAACTGTAGCTTTGTTTATAACTTCTTGCAAAGGTATGATTGTTAGTACAGCTGTGGATATTACATTTAAATGGCTTGTTCTGTAGGCCTAAAAAACAAGGTGTCAGCAGGCCACAAAACAGGACTGGTGCCTTTTAAAATATTAATTCTATTTATAGCACTGAGTGAACTTCATCATCAGTGGTTCAGGTTAATTTTATAAGAAAGGTAAGGTTGGTGCATTAAATAACATATGAATCACTGATTTTCATCATGGATTACCTGGGGCTGATAGGCCAGATGGTCCCTGTGTGCATGCCTGTATGCAAATAACCTAATGTGCATTCTACATTGTGTTCTTATAGAATACATACTAGTTTCTCCTGAGCACATATGGCATCTTTTATTATTATTATGTTAACAGATGACTGCAGATCAGTGTGAGGTGGTTATTAATATTTTCAAATCAAATCATGTTTCCTACAAAAAGGAAATAGGACAGCAGTTCCTGAATCCAGTGCTTAATCCTGGGATTACACATGAGACAATGTTCATAAGCTTATGCACACCGTCTCTGTGGAAATGTGGAGACACACTAAAATACACCACAGCACCTCTGGTTGTCCTTCCTCTGTTCATACTGAACAATGACTGATGTTGGCAGAGTGGGAGGAAAATACCTTGCTTATTTATTCAATTTCTCAACAGTGCAAAGCTTTCTGTTGTACTTATGCAAATATATATGACTGTAATTATTATTGGGAAAGGTGTGTGGTAAGTAGATAACATATTAAGAGAGTAAATGGAAGCTGAAAGTCTTACCTACTGGGCAAGAATAGTTGACAGTTTTATACAGAGAACCATGGTAATATTTGGATGCCTACAGAGCAGAATATCCAAACAAATGGCTGAATATTGCAATTTCTGGGAACATGAGATGCCCTGGGTGGACAGCTCACCGGATTTGAACCTAACTTTACTAATGTTATATACAGAATTATGCAAATTATTGACTGAATTAAATCAATGGGAAAGGAGTCGGGTAGGGAAGTGAAAGGAGGCCTAGTGAGATGCAGTGTGCGCAGGCCTGGTATTGGTAACTCTGTGGGGAAGGAGGCCTAGTGAGATGCAGTGTGTGTGCAGGCCTGGTATTGGTAACTCTGTGGGGACTTGGCTTTCTTTGTGGGGAACAGATGTTGCTCCAAACCAGGTAAATCACTGAATTTTAGGATGACGACTTGGCTTAAGGTTAAGGTACATCTCCAGGAAATGAAGGTCAATGTAAAGTCACCCAGAAATGAAAACAACTGTGTGCGCGTGTGTGTGAGAGTGAGTGTGAGAGAGAGAGAGAGAGAGAGAATCATGTTTTAATATATAAAAAAGTTTGGACACAATCACCACACACCACGACACACAAAGCAGGTCTCTGCTGTCCATGGTGCTGAAATGTAATTTTCTGCTCTCTCGTTTTTATTTAGTTATTTAGCAGCAAAATATTATTATCACTGTTGCTGGTCTGAACTAATGGCTGTTTATGAGATAACAATACATTTTCACTCCTCTCTGCATTTGACCCGTTTTACCACGTGGAGCCACTGTTGATCCATCAGAAACAGCGCTACCCTCTAATACAACTAGGCCCCTCCTGTTTTCAGGGTGCAGGGACGTTTACTCACTCTTTGTTGTAAAGAGACAGGAGGCGGAGGACTAGAAAGAATTCCACAACAATATTCAAAGCTCAAGCGGTTGTTATCTCCCATAGTGCCTCAAATATCTGGCTGAGATTGGATCACTATATTTGTATTTTATTCATATGGAACATAATTATGTATGTGCCTTATAGATGGAGCTATTTCGGGATATATCTTGCGCTGTTTCTGCTGGATTGTTACTGGGAAAGGGTGTCTGGGCAGCTCTCCTATTCCGTCTCAGAGGAGGTAAACCCAGGGACTCCTGTCGGAAATATTGCTAAAGATCTAAACTTCAATTCACAGGACTTGGAATCCCGTTTGTTTCAGATCGTTACTGGACCAAAGAGAAAATTCTTCGAGGTAAATCTAAAGACTGGTGTTCTGTATGTCAGTGAAAGAATAGACAGAGAGGAGCTTTGCGCAGAGGAACGTAAATGCTCAGTAAGTGTAGAAGCCGTGATAAATAACCCTTTGAAGCTTTATCGTATTGACGTAGACATTTTAGATGTAAATGACAATGCCCCTTTATTTACGACCAAGCTGCAGCATTTGTATATTGCAGAGAGCACTTTATCAGGAGTGAAATTCGCATTATCTGAAGCGACTGATGCAGATGTGGGGAAAAACGGAGTCAGTACTTACAAATTAAGCCAAAATGAGCATTTCTCTTTAGCAGTGCACAAAGCGGGTGACAGTGTGTCTGCTGAGTTAGTGCTGCAGAAAGCTTTAGACCGAGAGAAACAGTCTGTGATCACGATGACACTGACCGCTGTGGATGGAGGTAACCCTCCCAAAACAGGCACATCACAGCTCGTTGTTAATGTTTTAGATATTAATGATAACATTCCTATATTCAGCGAAACCTTGTACAAGGCAAAAACTCCCGAAAACACGCCACTGGGCACAATAGTAATATCTGTGAACGCCAGCGATGCAGACGAGGGCCTAAACGGTGAGATTGTGTATTCACTGAGAAGCAAGGATCAAGATCATATACTTGATATGTTTGAAATTGAAAGACAAACGGGTGTAATTAAGGTAAAAGGCAATATAGACTTTGAGGAAAGAAAAGCTTTTGAAATACGTGTGGAGGCCAGTGACAGAGGTCAGCCTCCGATGTCTGCTCACTGTAAAGTGCTGGTAGAAGTGGTGGACCTAAACGATAACCCGCCTGAGGTTACAGTGACGTCACTACACAACACAATAAAAGAAGATGCTAATGTCGGCACCGTAGTTGCACTTGTGTCAGTTCTTGATAGGGATGGTGGAAAAAATGGTGATGTGAAAATCCAGATTAAAAATGAGGTACCATTCAAACTGGAAACAAACTACAAAAATTATTATTCGCTGTTAGTTGACGGGGCCCTGGACAGGGAACGAGTCTCTAACTATAATGTTACAATTGTCGCCACTGATAAAGGAGCCCCGCCTCTCTCCAGCACGATTGTAGTTTCTATATTTGTTTCTGATGTAAATGACAACGCACCTCTATTCCCGGAACCCATAATCAATGTTTATGTGAATGAAAATAGTCCAGTAGGAGACGTTATTAAAAGCGTGACCGCAACTGATGCCGACAATGACAAGAACAGCCAGGTGAGCTATTCAATTTTACAAAGTAACAGTGAATCATCATCGTTATCTACAGTAATTAATATCAACTCAGAGACAGGAGACATAGTCAGTTTACAGTCTTTTAACTATGAGCAGATGAAAACCTTTCAGTTTAAAGTCCAGGCCACAGACTCTGGTGTTCCTCCGCTCAGCACCAACGTGACTGTCAACGTTTTCATCCTGGATGACAATGACAACAGTCCCTCGATTCTCGCGCCCTATTCTGAGCACGGCTCCGTTAACACTGAGAGCATCCCCTATTCTGCTGAAGCGGGATACTTTGTGGCAAAGATCAGGGCTGTAGACGCTGACTCGGGATACAATGCGCTGCTTTCTTATCACCTCTCTGAGCCCAAAGGAAACAACCTCTTCCGGATCGGAACCAGCACCGGGGAAATCAGGACTAAGAGGAGGATGAGTGACAACGACCTGAAAACTCACCCCTTGGTGGTGCTGGTCTCTGATAACGGAGAACCCTCCCTGTCAGCTACTGTGTCTATTGATGTCACGGTGGTTGAAAGCTCAGCTGACATCCAGACTCAGTTCAGACATGTACCCATAAAGGAGGACAGCTTCTCGGATCTAAACCTGTACCTGCTGATTGCCATCGTGTCGGTGTCAGTCATCTTCCTACTGAGCCTCATCAGTTTAATAGCTGTGAAATGTCACAGGACAGACGGCAGTTTCAGCAGGTACAGCGCCCCCATGATCACCACCCACCCTGACGGGAGCTGGTCTTACTCTAAATCTACTCAGCAGTATGACGTCTGCTTCAGCTCAGACACGCTCAAGAGTGACGTAGTGGTTTTCCCCGCACCGTTTCCGCCTGTAGACGCGGAGCTGATCAGTATTAACGGAGGAGACACGTTTACTAGGACTCAGACTTTACCCAGTAAAGATAAGGTAAGCAATACATATTTAAAAAGTCACTTTTATTTTCAAGAGCTGCAGCTAAGAAAATGTCCCTCAGTTTTCCTTTACATGTGAAATGAAGTTACTTTGTGATAACTTTCGAGTTGTGTCTATAATGTGTACCGGTACTTAACAGACAGTAGTCCTTTCAGTTATTCTCCAGAGAGCACTACTTCAATTTGTGTCGTTGTCCATGGTGCTGAAATAAAGAGCCGCGCTGGAAGATGCAAAGCTTAAAGTTCATCATAGCGTGTTTTCCTGTAGTTCTCCGGTATATTCACTGGAGTTTTCTTAAAGTTACTTATATTTTTATGCGTGATTTGACCACATTAAATGAAAATATAACTCTGAGCAATTCCATTACTTTCATTTAAATGGAGAAATGTGATTATTTTGCATGTTTGATTGCGTTTTCCATGGTTTTATACGTGTGTAGTAATTGCGAAACAGTCGGTAAGGGAATTGGTTTTGATGTCCTATAAATTCTGACTTCTTGTTGGCTGCATGTTGACTTGAAAGTTCAGGGGAATGTGGGTGACCTATCCCTGGTTTTGTGCTGAATGTAGTTATTTCAGATGACCACACGGGGACATTGTAGACCATCACATTTTGATGCCCCCCTTGTTTGTTAAAGACTCCTCCCAGATTCAGAGGATGATGATGTTTCTCGGGGCTTTGTTACGAAGAGACGCAGTGTGTGGTTTGTGTGGCGATCATTTGCCTCGTTCCCTTTAAAATGGCAAAGAATCTGGACTCTGGCGCTTCTATTTTGTTTTGGCGTATATGACGGAATTCGGGGGACTACGGTACATGCTCGGTTAACGTTGGATGACAATATGTGGACGCGGAGGATATGGAGCCATTTTTTTATTTGTATAGTCGTTGTTCTTATGGATTGTTTCTGCGAAGCGGTGTCTGGGCAGCTCTCTTACTCTGTGTCAGAGGAGGTAAACCCGGGGACGTTTGTGGGAAATCTAGCTAAAGATCTAAGCCTTAATGTTCAGGATTTGGTGGCACGATCGTTTCAGATCGTTAGTGGATCAAAGAGAAGATATTTCGATGTAAATCTGAAAACGGGTGCTCTTTATGTCAGTGAAAGAATCGACCGTGAGGAGCTTTGTGTCAAGGCTGCAAAATGCACAGTCAATGTAGAAGCCGTGATCAACAATCCCATGAAACTGTATCGTTTAGAGGTAAATGTAGTCGATGTAAATGATAATGCCCCATATTTCCCTGAGAAACTGCAGTCTCTTAACATTGCTGAAAGTACTGGGCCAGGACGGAGATTCGGATTTATCGGAGCGTCGGACCTCGATGTTGGCAAGAACAGCGTTAATACATACAAGCTGAGTACAAATGATTACTTTTCTTTAGACGTTCATAGGGCTGGAGAGAGTGTGTCTGCCCAGCTTGTGCTTCAGAAAGCTTTAGACAAAGAAACACAACCTACTATAAAACTTACAGTAACTGCTGTCGACGGCGGAAATCCACCCAAGTCTGGGACATCTGAAATTATTATAAATGTCTTAGACAATAACGACAACGCACCTGTTTTCAGTTCCACTTTATACAAGGTACGCATTTACGAGAACTTAGCAGTGGGTACTACTATTGTAGTGTTAAATGCAACAGACGCAGATGACGGCTTGAATGCTGAAATAGAGTATTCACTGAGAAGTAAAGGCCAGGATCACGTTTTAGAGGTATTTGACATTCATTCAAAAACAGGTGCAATTTTAGTTAAAGGTCAAATTGACTATGAACAAAACCCTGCGTTTGAAATCCATGCAGAGGCCAGTGACAGAGGACAGCCTCCAATGTCTGCTGATTGTAAAGTGCTGGTAGAAGTGGTGGACCTAAATGACAACGCTCCCGAGATCGCTGTGACGTCACTACTTCACACAGTGACGGAGGACGCTGATGTCGGTACTGCTATTGCACTTGTTTCTGTCTTGGACAAGGATGGTGGAAAAAACGGGGCAGTAAAGGCTGTAATTGTAAATGAGAGCCCCTTTAAATTGGACACAAATTATAAAAATTATTATTCATTAGTAGTGGATGGTCCACTTGACAGAGAAACTAAGGCCCAATACAACGTGACCATAGTAGCAACTGATGAAGGGACTCCGCCTCTCTCCAGCACCAGCATAGTTTCTCTTCATGTTTCTGACGTCAATGACAACATGCCTCGCTTCTCCGAGCCACTGTTTAATGTTTATGTGAAAGAAAACAGTCCAGTAGGAGCAGTGATTAAAACAGTGACTGCAGCAGATACCGATTTAAATGAAAATGGTAAGGTGAGATATTCACTTCTACAAAGTAACAGTAACTCATTGCCACTATCTACAATGATTAACATCAACTCAGAGACAGGAGACATAGTCAGCCTGCAGTCTTTTAACTATGAACAGATGAAAACCTTTCAGTTTAAAGTCCAGGCCACAGACTCTGGTGTTCCTCCGCTCAGCACCAACGTGACTGTCAACGTTTTCATCCTGGATGACAATGACAACAGTCCCTCGATTCTCGCGCCCTATTCTGAGCACGGCTCCGTTAACACTGAGAGCATCCCCTATTCTGCTGAAGCGGGATACTTTGTGGCAAAGATCAGGGCTGTAGACGCTGACTCGGGATACAATGCGCTGCTTTCTTATCACCTCTCTGAGCCCAAAGGAAACAACCTCTTCCGGATCGGAACCAGCACCGGGGAAATCAGGACTAAGAGGAGGATGAGTGACAACGACCTGAAAACTCACCCCTTGGTGGTGCTGGTCTCTGATAACGGAGAACCCTCCCTGTCAGCTACTGTGTCTATTGATGTCACGGTGGTTGAAAGCTCAGCTGACATCCAGACTCAGTTCAGACATGTACCCATAAAGGAGGACAGCTTCTCGGATCTAAACCTGTACCTGCTGATTGCCATCGTGTCGGTGTCAGTCATCTTCCTACTGAGCCTCATCAGTTTAATAGCTGTCAAATGTCACAGGACAGACGGCAGTTTCAGCAGGTACAGCGCCCCCATGATCACCACCCACCCTGACGGGAGCTGGTCTTACTCTAAATCTACTCAGCAGTATGACGTCTGCTTCAGCTCAGACACGCTCAAGAGTGACGTAGTGGTTTTCCCCGCACCGTTTCCGCCTGTAGACGCGGAGCTGATCAGTATTAACGGAGGAGACACGTTTACTAGGACTCAGACTTTACCCAGTAAAGATAAGGTAAGAACATAATGACATCATTATTATACTATACTTACGTGGGGATTAAAGCAGTTTTAATTTAAGTAGATTTCAAAGAGCTTGTCACGCAGGCGACTGCAAAGTGTCAGATAAATAGAAATCAAGTTGATTTTAATATTTTAGCTTTTTGGGCTACGGTACATGTGTCTATGGTCAATATGTTCATCGATTGCTTGTCTTGATCATTATTTGCTAATGATTTGCAGAGATGTGTTGAAAAAAATCCTGCTGCTGAGTGCAGGCTGCATGTCCTGTCTTTTTTTCTAAACCTTACTTTAAAAAATATCCCCTTTCGGACAAATAAAAATGGCGCAGCTGTAACATATATAGAAACCTGGTTTGTAGAAATTAAGTTAAAAAAAGATTGATATTATTGGCAATAAGATTTTTAATTTTACAAATAATGTTTCTGCACTTAAAATGATTGTTCTTATATTCTCTAATCGTTATCATTATTAGTGTTGGTGTCTTATGTATGGCTTATGTGTAAAGTCCAAGTGTTTTCCAGCGCGTGCACGTGTATAACCGAACAATCTTCCTGTAATGTAGACTAAACATTTTCAATACTTTCAAATGTTACGTTTTACCTGACTTGTCATCGTTTCAGTCGATTTCTCAAAAAAGCTTTTAGCTGGGATATAAACAACGAGTTTAAAGTAGGAATATGTTGATATGTGCTTTTTTAAATGACTCTTATTTGATATATGAAAACAGTTGGCTAAATGTGGAAGGAGCACTTAAGACTATAAGGGTAATGTAAATATTGAAGTGTTAAATGTTAAACGTAGTTCTTACAAGTGTCCACACGAGGACATCATGGACCATCACATGTGCACTTTCTCTAAGTGGCTTGGGGCTCCTCCCAGTTTAAGGAGCTGCTGCTGATTTTTTCCTGGGGACTGAAACAAAGAGACGGAGGAAGTGAAAGAGAACGATGCAACGATCATATTCGCGTGATAATTTCAATTCGTTTAGAGTATTAACCTGTTAACTTTTAATTCCTCTGATTTGTAACATTACTGAACGTATCTGTATGATATAACTCGGTGAAAGGAATTATGCCTTTACCGACCAGACACAGCTCTTTGTGGATATCTCTCTTGTTCGCGCTGCTGGATTGTTACTGGGAAACCGTGTCTGCACAGCTCTCTTACTCCGTCTCAGAGGAGGTAAACCTGGGGACTGTTGTTGGAAATATCGCTAAGGATTTGAACATTAATGTCCAGGAGTTGGAGTCTCGCATGTTTCAGATCGTTGCTGGATCAAAGAGGAAATATTTCGAGGTAAATCTGAAGACTGGTGTCCTCTATGTTAATGAGAGAATAGATCGAGAAGAACTCTGCGGCGACGAGCCCAAATGTTCCCTCAGTGTAGAAGCTGTTATTAACAATCCATTAAAGCTGTACCGTATTGAAATGATCATCTTAGATGTAAATGATAATTCTCCATCATTTCTCAGCACGTCACTGTTACTGAACATCAGTGAAGTTACAGCAGCAGGGGCAAAATTTCCTATACATCCAGCTCACGACGCAGACGTCGGTAAAAACACTGTCAGTACCTACAAACTCAGTCAAAATGAACATTTCTCTCTAGAC